TTTTTCCAAATTTTCCCAGTAAATTTTCATCAATTTTCACTATTTTTCACAAGTTTTTTGAGGTTAGGAAAAAATTGTGACGTGATGGGCCAATTCTGACCCCAGATTCGTGTTCAGGAGGCCAAATTACTACGAAAAATATATGTCGCATAAAAAGTATACCCAACTTTTTTTTTGTGTGTGGCTCTGTTATCAGTCGCCTAGAAAGCCATTGAATTTAGAAACTTGTCTGTCTTGATATTTTTTTCGTAAACCAAACGCAATGTTTTTGAGAAAAATGGCGAATCACGATATGCAATCAATCACATTTTAACATTTTTCTCAAAAACTGCGTTTACAAAAAAAGTATCAAGACGCAAAAAGTTTCTAAATTTAATGGTTTTCTAGCGGATTAATAATTTTTAAGAAATTTAAATATCAATTAGGGCAAGCGGTATTTGCATACAAGAGAATAAACAATAAATAAACGTTTCGATGTTTTCATATTTGCGTTCCGGTTTATATTATTTTGTTTGACCCCGGCTTCCTTCCACCCTGAACTTTCGAGTCCATTACATTTTACGTCTCGTTCTCGCCCCATTTCGCGTTTCTATTGTATGTATTGTTCTGCGGTAAGGGGGAGGGAGCGCGTCAACGTCTTCTTGGGGTTAACAGGTGAACTGTGCGCACGCGTCTTTAACCTCGCTCGGCGATTAATCCATATCGTCGGGTTTATCATATGTGACGTTGCCAAGTCTACGGTTCACGTCCGATTTATGGGGAAATATTTCCAGTATAAAAATTCTAGACGATGCATGCATCGAACTTCCCGAATTGTTTAGAATGCGTATAAACATGCGTTTTTGTTATATTATAAATTTGATGACGGCTGTTGAATTAAATATGTAAAAATTAAATTTGAAACAAAAAACTTGGAAAAAGTTGAACTTGCTAATGTTTAATTGCCATGGTTACCAAAGTTACTGTTTCTGATTAAAAAAAAGGAATAATTCTATATTCCATATAGTTCTTTTTGCCCATTGGCTAACAGAGGAAAATAAACATGTATGTCTGCGTCTTAAAATCATTGGTGGCATTCAAGAAAATCTACTTTAAAATAACATTGTAACATTGCAAAAACACACTTGCAAAACAGTGTTTACATATATTTAATAATTCTTGATGAAGTTGCTCAAGAAATTGTCACAATTTACAATTTGATATATTTCTCACGTTACAGTGAATTGGCCAACATATTTAGAGGGTAATATAAAAAAGTAATACAGTTTTTGCAATGGATCATAAGCCTATCGTCTTTTGTTTTTGGGCGTCAAACAGGGCATCAAAAATGATTTTTTACAATTAAATTTTTGTCCATTTCAAAAAAACTACATTTTATTGAAATTTGGTACAAGTTAGTTTCTAATACAAAGTCAGTGCTGTAAACCTTTGACCATTGCCTAGAGGTCGTTATGTACTATCTCTTGCACTGATATTTGACGGCATAGTTTTTTTTTAGTGTATGTCTTGTGTGACAATGTACAATTTTAATATACCTAAAAAACGCACTATGTTGTAATCGTTGTAAACGTATCGTTTTTCTAGGAAATACGCAATTGACTGCCCCACAGTCTACTAGCATTTATTCCTTAATCTATAGCGTGGATGAAAATAAACCGATTTAGATCAATTTACTTTAGTATATTTGTATTGCTCTTTATACTCCGCGGTCGAAATTATAAAGAGTGACTAAGACATAATATAAAAACACTATTACCATAATGCGTATAAAATATAAAATGATTTTTATACGGTTCAATATTATTTATCTTTGTGCCGCTCGCTACGCACTTCGATAGAATCTATAATCGTCTAGAGACCGAGTTACACTGAACGTCGATCTATATTTTATCTCTGTCTTTTGCACTTGGTAGGGAATAGTGAAATGCTTTTTTAGTGGGTGTACACGGACTTGATTTAACCCGTCCTGAGAAACGTCATAGCATAAGCGTAGACGAGGGGTCTAATTCCATGGCTATAATAAATTTATAAATTAAAAAAACACAATTGGGACGTTTTAAAATGCTGTAATAATTAAAATGGATCAAAGTGCCTGTTATAGCAAACCGTACAAAATATTAGATGTTATGTTTTATTATCTTTTTTCATTATTTTCTATATCTTGTTGCCTTTTACGCAGACACGCCAATGGATTTTCGTTCCCGGCACGCTTCATCCCCCTTACTAGTCCAAAAGCTAGCGATGAATCACTCTCTACAATTTCTACCGTATAGTATAAGTAGTTACAGATCTTCAACAACAAAAAAAACTAATAATAATTTAATAGAAAAAAAATTTTTTGAAGGTTACATTTTTAAGGAAGTTAAAATTTTACCGAGGTAACTTGATCTAAATCAGTATACAGGCTGTCTACTATAAGAGAACCACTCCTATGTATCTCGCTTAATACTCGATGCACGTCAAAATTCTTATTAAAGGCAACCTGTAGTATATCGCATGATAGAGGAAAAAACGAGCAATTTTTAGTAGCCACAGCCTGCTTCGATGACAATTTTTTTTTTGCCAGCGTAGAGGGCGCAGCAAATTACATACGATACTTTAAAAATCTTTTTGTACTAGGTGAAAGATATCAATTTTGCCATGAAATTTTATTAAAATAAGATTTCTCTATCTCTTAAAGTAAAAAAATTAGACGTACTTTTCCGTTTTTTTTTTATAATTACTCACAAAGTAGGCCATGGATCTCAAATTTGTTTCTACGAGCATAAAGACCTCAAAAAATGCAACAAAAAAACGTATAAAGATGTTTGACGTGTGTCGTACATTAAGCAAGATACATAGAAGTAGCCCTCTTATAGTAGACAGCCTGTATATTCATCCAAGAAAGTTATCCTTAAAGTATCGCCCATTCGTTTGCGAACACCCTGTAAATTACAGATAGAAGCTGATTGACTTTAAGTCAATGGGTTTTTTTTTCCAGAACCGGTGCGTTTTCAGCTATTGTTTGTTCAAATGTTACATTCTAAAGGCAGGGACACAATGGAAAATATTAAATATAAATGTTTGACACAATGATAATAATTTGATGATAGATTATAACAATTTGACCAATGAGTAGTATTCTTCGCCACAGCTTTGTCAGACATAATTGAAATAACGTGGAAAGCAAGACATTAATAATTATTTCTTTCCGATTACCATTTTACAGACATTAAACTCGACAACAAAACAAAAACACTTTATTTATAGGTTAGTTGGAGATGCGGTATGGAAATGGTACATTAATTTGATTGGTCAAATATAAGATATAAATATTAAATTTCGACGTGTCGAAAAATATTTCTTATTTATTATCTTATTTTCCCATTGTGTGTCACTATATGAAAACATATTTATCGAATTTTCTATTTTATATTTAATATTTATATTTTATATTTTTTCATTGTGTCCCGGCCTTAATGTAAGACATTATAAGAAATCTAACCTTAAAAAAAATTGTCAAAAACTTGTCTGTACCGAATTTCAATATACTTTCAATAAAATTTTATTTAAAAAAATCATCTGACTTCCCTTATCTCGAAAATAAACTTATGTCCATATAAAACAATCTTATGATACATTCTAATACAAGACATTTTAAAGAAACCTAACCTTAAAACAATTGTCAAAAACTTGTCTGTACCGAATTTCAATATATTTTCAATAAAATTTATTTAAAAAAAATCATCTGACTTCCCTTATCTCGAAAATAAACGTATGTCCATATAAAACAATCTTATTATGTGTATATGTACGTTTCTTATTCATAATTTAAAATGACATCTTGGAAAACATTAACGTTTCCATAAAAAAAATCATGGAATACCTATCTATGCTATTTTAGGTTAGATTCAATACAAAATTACCCTAAATTAATGTTGGTAATAAACATAGAAATAGGGGGAAATGGATTTTTGGATTTATTAAATGGACTGTACAAATGTGTTTCCTCTATACGGTTATAATTACATACCGGGTAGGAAAGTACCGATGGTCTATCTGAAGTTACGTGAGAGCGATAAAGTAAGCCATAGAAATCCATGTGATAGACAAGGATGGGTATAGTGAACGCGTCTAGAAGTCACCGCCCATTTCGCCCTTCCACAAATAAGAAGTGGATCTTATTTGTGGAAGGGCGAAACGGGCGGTGACTATGAGACGCCTTCATTATAGCCATGCTTCTCTATCGCATGGATTTCTATGGCTTACTTTATCGCTCTCACGTAACTTCAGATAGACCATCGGTACTTTCCTACCCGGTATATCAATCACATGCTAGTAATATTTATTTATTTATAAATTAATTCAAACAGTGATTTACATAAGGTTAACGAGTTAGGTTAAATTTCTGTTTTTCGTATTTGCCTGGTAATAGATAATTCATTCTTATAAATTCTTTTAGAAGTAATATAAATTACTTACATGGGTTATCTCGATGTTTCGTGAGATAAATTCGTACATAAAGTTAGGTTAGGGTAATCCAATGCATTTAAAAGAAAACTTCACCTGTACGTAGGTATATTTCTATATAAAGTTGGGTTAGGCCAAGAAGTTTTTTTGTATATCACGTAGAGTTAGGTTAGGTTATTTAAAATCAAATCTTAACATTAAAAACTCAAATTAATCATAAAATACATTTTATTAATAAAATTACTAGTGTGGTTTAATATTTTCCATTTAGAAGACATACAATTAGTGTTTTTTGAGGTACTATTTAGGTATTTTCCTTTATAAACGCCGTGATTTCTTAAATTTTTATCAAAAAATCTTCATAAATTCACTGGGACAAAAATTGATACACTTAAAAGATTCATTAGATCTTTTATTTATAAGAAAATATTTGTAAATCATTTACAAATGCTTACACTGTCTTGTAGATTGTATTAACGCAGTAAGTGAAAATTGAAAAAATTAATTTGTATATTTTGTATGGAGGACACATTTGTAAGTTGATCCAGACAGCGCGATGAATTCAAATCGAGTCCTACGACGGAACAAGACCTGGGTAAATCGCGGAAGGAGCCGGCAACGCCGCCGACTTCCATCATATCGCAACTTCACCACTTTGCAGTAAACACGGGCGTGAGACGCCAACTATGACATTAAAGTGCCGTCCACTTCCGTCGTGACAGACGTCCAGATGCCACTTCTTGCGCGAAATGCTTGACAGTGACAGTGCGGGCAGGGACTAAACTCGCGAGTAGGTCGTTTCGGTGAATATGGTTCATTCAACTTACGCGCAAGGTCATGTTATGGGAGGTCGGGACACTAGCCCGCTAGGCATCCCCAAGTCGCCGTCTTTCCACAGCGGTCTGGACCTGGTGGCCTCGGCCAGCGTGGACTCCCTGAAGGCGGCCCAGGCGTCGCTCGAGCAGCAGGAAGCCACCGGGTTCCCGTGCAAGATATCCTTCTATAATGTCATGGCGGTCAACTCGAAGGCTGGCGTCGCCGTAGGCGAGATGGCCTTGAGGAACGGTGTCGGCGGATTGTCGCAGTTGACGATGCCCCCCGCTCAGAAGAATTCTACGGCCGTGCGTACGATGCAGTCAATGGGACAGTTACCTCTGCTCAAAGGTGAATCTACCAGTTTTTTTGTTTAGTGCTCGATATTTCTTACGCGTATTTAAAGGGGCCCGTTAAAAATTTTGAGAGTATCGCGGGCGTAAACAGAAGGTGGCGTAATTATCGCGAGTTTGATGGTTTGACGGAATTCAAATTTTTGTTTCTTCAGGTTGCCGAAAAGCCTGTATTATTTTATGTCAGATTAGCCAAGTTTGAAGTTTCTTGATTTACAATACCAATACGTTGAGCCACGTTTTTTTGCTATACTGACCTTTGTAATCCGTAAGAAAAAGTGTAAGTTTCTACATCATGAATTCATGACTTGCTAGGTACATAAATAAATTAGTTTTTAATAGAAAAAAAATATACCTATATGTTTTTGTTAATATAGAAAATCTCAAAAATCTCAAAATCTCAAAAAAAGCAAAAAATTCACATGCAAAAATCACATTCACAAATTAATTTTTGAGTGACATTAAATAGTTTTTGTTTAAACCTGTTACATTTTTCGATGCACTTAGCAGTTCTTCTTTTTTAACTGATGATATACAGTGTAATTCATAAATAATGTCCCGCAGACTTGTAGTTATTGTTTTAGAAACATAAAATTATTTGTAATATGGCTTGCATTGACTTTTAACTGGAATTCCACATGTATTACTTTTTACTTAAATGCCCAATTTGAACATTTATATTCTTGTCAAAATATGTTGTAGTCTAAGGCTAAAAAAATATTTGAAACAACTCATTGTAAATAGTTTTGAAACTTGTTAGTAAAATATCTAGATACAACTTTGCCACATTATTCTTAATGTGACATTTTTTAAATTTATCCAAGCCCATTTTTAAAATTTATGCAAGCCACTACTATTAAAGTTGGATTTTTTATACAAAAAACGTCGTTATTTATTTGTTGCCTCATAAAAAAAATAATATTAAATTTTTCATTTATACGACTAATAAAGTTTAAATCATTTGTACTTGAACTCTTGAACATGGACAGTTTGAAATAAAAAAACGCGATATCTTTTTTTGTGTATAATAAATTCTGGTCTTAAATAAGTAAAAAAATGACACACAAAAATAGACGAAGCTAAATTTTACCTTTCATTTTACCCAGTTTTGACTTACTTCTGAATAATTCTGGTTTACTAATAATTGTATTTTGTCTTATAAACGATAAAAAGTAGTTTTTTTTCTTATTTTGAGGCGTTCTCTTACCAGATAAAGTTTGGCATATGCAATTCGGAATACCCTGTATGTATCGCATAATTGGATATCCAAATAAACCTATTACTCTATAGTAATTGGAATAGGCAATTCGCTGCCTGAATATCTATTAGTGTGTAAATTCATAATTCACATTCAGATAATTAACTTTTTTTATTTAACGTGTTTCGTAAGTAATAGGCTCGGTAATAGGTCACAGAGCAAGAGTGGACTCTAGACACTAAAATATTACTATTTAGCCTAGCTTACCTTAGTCTAACAGTTGATATTAAAAGCGATATACAGTGTAGTGTAATTTTAATTATTGAAATATCGATTTCAAATTTGGTAGTAAAAGAGTTTTAGCGGTACCAAATTTAAATTTTATGATAGGAGCCGTCTTTTAGCGAGACCACTTTATAGTATCTTTGCTGTAAAATAATGCTACACATATTTGTTTACCGAACCCCAGTATGACTTGGGATACTTTGTGAAAACCCATGTCTTTAAACATTTTCGAGATATTTGCATTTAAAAAAATTCAACACATAAACATGTTTATCTTATTATGATACTTTATCAAGTAAACTGTAAAACAGATGCAGTAAATACAAGTTATCTAACTTGAAAAGTAGGTTAAGGACAAAAATAAAAATTTTCGGTTTGTGTCAGATTATTGTATCTAGTTTTTGCATTTATTTTGTAACTACGTGAATACGCATTTTATAAATCCAAATACATATACCTATGCATGGGCCATAATATTTATTCGACTTGAATTCTCTTGATTTCTGTTGCTGATGACACATAATTAATTTTCAAGATTTCTAGCATTTCGTTCACTACATAGGTTTTTTCTTCTATAAAACTATTCTTTAATTTTGAAATATTGAAGGTCATTTATTTTTTATATCAAATATTATATCTCTTTGACCAGAATATGTATAAATGCTCATATTGGGCCTTTGAATCGGTTAAAAGTGAATGTATGCCATCTTAAAAAATAATTTAACGAAACCTACAACTTTTTAACTCTTGTTCTCAAATCTTGACAGTGTAAAATTTTAAAAATATTTAACTACACACAATGCAGTATTATTTAATTTGTTTGTCGGTTATGATAATTATTTTACGTACATATAATTTCTATGATTGTTTTTCAAGTTAACGAAGTGCAAATTCAGTAATATTTTTGCATGTTTTACAGTTTTAACAGCTTACTTTTTAATTAACATTGCAATCTTGCAATTTACGACCGGAAAAAACAATGAAAATAATATAATTCTGATCTGCACATGGGTCGATTTAACTAATTGCTACAACAGATATAATCCCAAAGATGCTCAGACCTTTTTTTTTTCAAAATTCTTAGAAATCGTTTTTTAGTTATAAATTTTCAGATATTAAAATTGTTTATCGCCCTGTACAATTAACAGTTTTTAATAGCCTGTAATCTTTCTTATTTCATTATCTAACTTTGCGACAACATTAGTGCCATTTCGCAATAACTTGTCTTGAGGCTATGCAAAGAACGTGGTGTTCGAGTGGCCAAAGGAATTTTAATCTGTATCTTTAGGAATAAACAAAATTGACAAATATTGTAACCGCATTAGAAGCCCCATACACTTCGTTCATCATCGACTATTTTACCTGTAGGTGGTAAACAACACCGACGTGGTAACTTAAAACAATTTTACCTGACGGCTAAAGTTATCGAAGAAGAACGAAATGTGTAGGGTTTACAACTTTTAAAAAGAAATAATGAAAAGGAATATTCTTTGAAAAACATATATTCTTTTATTAGCTCTCATATTTTTACACAATTTTAAAAGTTTAAGGCCTGCGAAATATTGGTAGTGGTGTTCGTACATTGCAGGTGTATAATATAGTTTTGGGAGAATATTTGGCAAGTGCATATTTGGAATATATCAATCTGCACCATCCGCACGATGCGGCATTTGTTTACGTTTGACAAATATATTACACTGACGTGTTTGCATTCTCGATCAATCAGCCATCCATACTGCATTTGTTTATATTTGACCAATATTTGGCAAGTAAGACAACGGTGTACGGTACACTATACAGAAAGCAAATAAGTACGCTAGTGTATAGAAATTCGACTATACCATATGTTATACACAATTTGGTAGCATGACACTAGGAATTTGTTTATTTGATCTCAAATCATTCTTAATCAGTATCGCTTACACTAGTGTAGTACGTCGGTGACATTGATTGAAAATTCCGCCATAAATTTTTAAATTCAACAAATCTGAAGTTTATTATCTGAGTTATAGACGAAAGAATTCAGTTATTGGAATTTTGAGGAATCTCAGCACATATATTTAAATATACAGTGTTCTATTTAAGAGGTGGAGTGTTTTTCAAATAGTTAAGCGTTCGATAATGCCAAGTCGCGGATGGTGCAGCTCCTCCAGATCTTAGATACCGTGTAGGAAAGCGCCGATGGTCTATCACAAGTTACGTGAGAGCGATAAAGTAAGACATAGAAATCCATGCGATAGAGAAGGATGGCTATAATGAAGGGTTCTCTTTGTCACCGCCCGTTTCGCTCTTCCACAAATAAGATCCACTTCTTATTTGTGGAAGGGCGAAATGGGCGTTGACTATGATACGCCTTAATTATAGCCATCCTTCTCTATCGCATGGATTTCTATGTCTTACTTTATCGTTCTCACGTAACTTCAGATAGACCATCGGTACTTTCCTACCCGGTATGTAATTATAACCGTATAGAGGAAACACATTTGTACAGTTCATTTAATAAATCCAAAAATCCATTTCCCCCTATTTCTATGTTTATTACCAACATTAATTTAGGGTAATTTTGTATTGAATCTAACCTAAAATAGCATAGATTCCACGATTTTTTTTTATGGAAACGTTAATGTTTTCCATGATGTCATTTTAAATTATGAATAAGAAACGTACATATACACATAATAAGATTGTTTTATATGTACATACGTTTATTTTCGAGATAAGGGAAGTCAGATGATTTTTTTAAATAAATTTTATTGAAAATATATTGCAATTCGGTACAGACAAGTTTTTGACAATTGTTTTAAGGTTAGGTTTCTTTAAAATGTCTTGTATTAGAATGTATCATAAGATTGTTTTATATGGACATAAGTTTATTTTCGAGATAAGGGAAGTCAGATGATTTCTTTAAATAAAATTTTATTGAAAATATATAGAAATTCGGTACAGACAAGTTTTTGACAATTTATTTTAAGGTTAGATTTCTTATAATGTCTTACATTAAGGCCGGGACACAATGGAAAAATATAAAATATAAATATTAAATATTAAATATAAAATAGAAAATTCGATAAATATGCTTTCATATACACACAATGGGAAAATAAGATGATAAGAAATATTTTTCGACACGTCGAAATTTAATATTTATATCTTATATTTGACCAAACAAATTAATGTACCATTTCCATACCGCATCTCCAACTAACCTATAAATAGTGTTTTTGTTTTGTTGTCGAGTTTAATGTCTAAAATGGTAATCGGAAAGAAATAATTATTAATGTCTTGCTTTCCACGTTATTTCAATTATGTCTGACAAAGTTGTGCCGAAAAATACTACTCATTGGTCAAATTGTTATAATCCATCATCAAATTATTATTATTGTGTCAAACATTTATATTTAATATGCTATATATTATATCTTATATTTAATATTTTCCATTGTGTCGAGGATATTTTTTTACTTAAATAAATACTAGATTAGAAAAAATAAGAAATTGGAAGCTGAAAAATAATTTTATATTTGCTGAATTTACACGAATATTTGTATCTATTTTTTTATCGTATTTACAAATGTTAAATATTTTTAAATGAAGATCTGCGGAGTTGAAAATGATCAATAATTTTGACTAAAAATATCCCTAGAACTAGATTTAGACTTAGCAAATTGGCAGCACTATGTAGTTGTGCATATGCCTATATTTATGTTCATTGTTCTCACATTATGATTTATAAAGGAAAACTCTCCTTTTTTACTAATTATTAACAATGTCAATTTGTGATGATTGTAGTAAATACTTAATTAACATGTTTAATTTGACAAAATTGTTATTCCCAATACTCCAAGAAATGACCGCCGCCACTCGCCACTATTTTTTTTTTCAAGTTTGTGCACCACTGAGTGCAACAAGTACATTTTGTTTAAATTTCCGGCATATCCGTAAGTTTTTACTGCTGTCTGTGTTTCCCGTGCTATAAATAAGAGATGTACTTCAGGGTTACGGTAACCTTTCTGTCGAGTTTTTTGTGTTATAAAACTAGGAAAACAAGAATTATCATTTAAGCTGTCGGATTGCTACTAATTGAGTTATATTATTGATTTTCAAGGAACAATACACTGTGACAAAAAACAAAAACAAAACTGTCATTGCGAAACATTAAAATTATCAATAATAATTTTAAAGCGTAAAACTTCATTGGAGAGTATTGAAAACGAAAACAGATTGATTTTCGAAACGTCAAGACTTATTACAAACTTTGACCGCAAATTCTAGGAATGATTTAATATCGATTCGACATGAATCGTTTTATCTAAAAATACTTCCTAAGGGAAGTAGGGCTCTTTCATGTTGGCCCTTTGACATTTTTTTTTTGTAATTGTTCAGTTTAATGTTTATCTAGAAGTATAAAACTTAAGTTATGTGTTAACTCTTATACAGACAGTCTTTTGAAGTTAAAATTATCTTTTAATTATAACCATAGACGTCACAGTTGGGAGGGTCAACTGATTTTTTTTTATTTTCGACTTCTTGGCATATCGACGTGACGCTGCTCGAGAGTTACATTGCATTTCGCCATACACTAAAAGCATATCAGCATATTTTGCATTAAATATTTTTAAACAACAGAGAAAAAGTTTGATTTAAAACTAATTTCTAAATCTGACATTTACAGCGTAGTTAACTGTTGACCAAAACCAACTACTATATATTTACAGAATTTGTGATTTTGGAATTATCACGCAAAAAATAAACATTTCAAATAGATATTTTTCTCATACGGTACGCCCTAGCCACTCAAGACAAGAAGCACCCCTTTAATCTAGAATATCTGAAGTTTTCGATTTTTATACACTAATGCAAAAAATGAAAGGGTCAAAGAATTTCCAAAATTTTTCCGTGATTTTGAACACGAGGTGAAAAATGGTCGTATCGGGAATTAAAAAAAAAAAAACATTTTGAAGCTCTAAGATTCTAATTTTTAGATCTTTCGGTCGAAATTTTTTAGACGCTACGGTTATCATGCAATCCTAAGAAATACCGCGACAAAAAAATTTTGCAAATTTTCTTTTTTTTTCTGAGTACGGACTTGGAAAAATTTTTTTCAGCTAAGCCATTGCATGGACCAGATAGCTTATTTATTAAGCTTCAATTTCCTTTTTTTTTAAATTTCGATACGAGCAATTTTCATCGAAATATTGGACTATTAATGGAAAAGGATCGTTTTGTCTTCAATCATCGATATCTCGGCGACAAAAAATGGTCGTACAGAGAATTGAAGGACAGTTTCGAAAACTGGAATAAATTTTCTATAATATGCTGCCGTAACTGTTCGGAAATGTTTGTTTTGTTTTACACGAATTTTGAAGAACAGGAAAAAAAGGGTAATTTATGGTTTTTTAGAAAATTGACGGCTAAATTAGAAGTATTCACGATATGACTAATGTTAAGCATGACTTTTACAGTTCGACATACTCGGAAGAACTTTTTTTTGAGATTTTCGTACATTTTTACGGTAAATAACATTTAAATTGATGGAAAAAAAATCGAAAAATTTTCAGATTTTCGAAGTTTTTTTGTTTTTTTTTTTTTTGAAAAACTTTCCGAACATTGAAGAAAACAAAATCCAATTGTTTCCAGTTTCGGCTTTTTCGTCCTATGCTTCTGTTCATCAACTTTTAATTAAATTAAAATTAAATTTGATGACCCAACCATTCATACCGTTTTTTAAGACAAATTTCTAATTAATTTTTGTGCAGTCTGTAATCACTTAAAAAACAGTTTTTTTTTGAAAACTAAATTTTTTCTTTGATAAAAAATTTAATTTTTTTTTTTCATCAATTTAAATGTTATTTGCGGTAAAAATGTGAGAAAACCTCAAAAAATGTTTTTTCTATTTTAATCATGATTATGAAGTGTTTAAGCTCAAAAAACGCGACCCTTTCATTTTTTTCAAAAGTTTGAGTGAAACAGAAACGGTTCGCTAGATCGAGATGAAACTTCACAGGGTTCTTCTGGGTATATCGAACTGTAAAAGTTATGCTTAAACATTAGTCATTTCGAGAATATTTTTAATTTAGCCATCAATTTTCTAAAAAACCATAAATTACCCTTTTTTTCTGTTTTTTAGAATTCGTGTAAAACATGAAAAAAAAAAATTCCCGAAAAGTTATGGCAGCATATAGGAGATTTATTCCAATTTTCGAAACTGCCCTTCAATTCTCTGTACGACCATCTGTCGCCGAGATATCGATGATTGAAGACAAAAGTCTGATATTTCGACGAAAAATGGTCGTATCGAAAAAAAAAAGGAAATTGAAGCTTAATAAACAAGCTATCTGTCTATGCAATGGCTTAGCTGAAAAAAAAAATGTTCGAAGTCCGGGGACTCGGAAAAAAATAAAATTTGCAAAATTTTTTTGTCGCGCTATTTCTTAGAATTGCATGATAACCTCGCTCCTAAAAAATTTCGACAGAAAATTCTAAAAACTAGAATCGCGGAGCTTCAAAATGCTTTTTTTTAATTCCCGGTACGACCATTTTTCACCTAAATACAGTCTGTCGAAAATAACGTAAACATTTCGGAAATACCTTTGACCCTTTAATTTTTTGCATTAGTTTATTAAAAATACCAAAAAGTCGAAGATAAAAAAAAATAATTAAAAATATCAGTTGACCCTCCCTTTTTACATTAAAAGCCCTGTGTATTGTATTTTCTATTTGTCGGTTTTTTTTTCAGTGTAATACTTTTAGTTTGGCAAAACTATTTTCGTAAAAAATAACCCTTCACTGATTTTTTTGACGCAAGAATTTAGTTAATTACTTTTTTTCACAGGTGCGAGAATACCCAGTACTTTACCGAATAGGAAAAAATGTTTTTTGTTTTCGAAATAAGCGATGTATTAACTAACGATTTACATTATTATGTCTAATTTATCCATTTATTTAATGATAGAAAAACCAACAAACGCGAATGGATCTGATCGCGACAAAACCTAGGAATATACCTACTACCTATGCGTTGGACGACCCTAAAAATCTATAAAAAAGTCAACGAACTTAGCAGCATAAATAATTCAGTTAAATATCTCTTATTAATAAAGTACATATAATTATTATATCTAGATTATGGAGACCGTTAAACTTTGCCAAATAGTCAACCTATGAACTACGTTTTATCCAAGAATGTTTTTATAACATTTCTTTAAATTGAAAAACACAATCTAGAGTTTGATACAGTATTTTACCAAATCCGAAATTTTGTGAGCAGGTTTAAAATGATCTTAATTGTAAAACAGGTATTATATGACATTTTAGTTTATAACAAGGAGGTATGGCGCGCTTGTTTTTCAGGAAATCTTGTCTCAATGAAAGAATTTTCTGTGCGTTATTCTTCATATTTCATTTTTTCATAGGGTCGTTATATGAAATGGTTTCAGTGTTCTTTGTTCTTTCCAGATGCTGCGCCAGCTGACAGGGAGGAATTATTTGTGCAGAAACTCAGACAGTGTTGTGTCCTTTTCGATTTTGCGACGGATCCCTTGTCGGATCTCAAATGGAAGGAAGTCAAACGGGCCGCCCTTCAGGAAATGGTGGAGTATGTTACACAACAAAAAGGTGTTATCACCGAAACAATATACCCTGAGGCTGTTAATATGGTAAGTCACTTAAAACAAACAGCGACTTGTTTAGGGGCCATCAACAAAAAAAAAAAAAAACAGATTTATACAGGGTGGTTTCGAAGTCCATGTCGTAATTTCCGGAGGATGTTCTTTGCGTCATTTTAGGCTAAAAAGTCTAGTCGCTGATTTTTTGAGTTAATTTATGAAAAATCCTGAACTCCGTCACTGAGAAAACTAAAAATTTCAGTGTCACTAAATTTGGATATTGAAAAATTTCATTTTATTCGAAAAATGAGCCATTTTTTAGTTATAGGTATATTTATTTATTTAGAATCGGTTTATCACATAGTGTAACCATCAAAAGTCCAAAAAAATCATTGTCATCGAAATTTTTAATTTCTTAAGGACTAATGAGGAATGAAAATAATAAAATTTGTATGGTTACACTGAATTTAAGTTTAAATTAACAAAGAAACATTTCATGTAGGCTTTTTGCAAAATAATTTCTTAATTTGTGATGTTTATTATAAATTTTAAATTTTCAAAATATACAGGGTGTCCCACTGGGAACTGCGTCGATCGATATCTAGGAAAATACTGCTCAGAAAAATTTGAAAATTTCGGAACACAACTAAAATATCTACTCTTCAACAAGCGGATTTTTGGTACCTGTAAAGGGCATATGTAACACTACATTATTGTATACCAAAAAATTAAAATATTTAATACTAGGTGTCTCATTTTTGCTGTTACATTTTGATAACTTCAAACAACTTTAACTTTGTTAACTTAAATGGAACACCCTATATTTTTTAACTCTGTAGTATGCAGATTAAAACTTCCTTTCTATCCATATATATGCATTGTTAGGGTTGCTGTTACGACTTTAAGATATTTGCAATTTTATATTTTCTGGACAATTTTTTTCTTCAAATTGGCCATGACCAGAAACTCTCCAAAAACAATTGAAGTTTGACAACAATGACATTTGTCAAGTTAGTTGTCAAATTATTGTTGTGCCTGAATGGTTTTTGCCGAAAATTTAAATAAAAATGTCTGGACATCGTTTAAATTATACTAATGAGGATTAGTTCAATTTGTTTGTTATTTATGGAAATGTGACAAAGTAATTTCAAGAACATGTAGAGAGTCTGCTGCTTTTTCCATAAATAACATACAAATTAAAATAATTCTCATAAGTATAGGTAATTTAAATGATCCTCAGGTATTTTTATTTAAATTTTCAGCAAAAACTACTACACACATAACAGTGATTTGACAACTAACTTGAGAAATGTGAAGTTATTTTAATTGTTTTGGAGTGTTTCTGGTCATGAACCAGAACCAATTTGATAACAGGTCTGATACGAGAAAAAGTGTCCAAAAAATAGAAAATTGGAAATATTTTTAAAAATAGTAACGGCAACCTTAACAATGCTTATATGGCTTGAAAGGAAATTTCAACCTGCATACGACAGAGTAAAAAAATACAGGGTGTTCTATTTAAGTTAACAAAATTATAGATGTTTGAAGTTATCAAAATGCAACAGCAAAAAATGAAACACCTAGTATTAAATGTTATAATTTGTTGATATACCATAATTTTGGGTTACCTATATCCTTTCCAGGTACCAAAAATCCGCTTGATATCACGCTCCTGAAAAGAGTTACTAGCATCTTTGTGGACCCTTGCATCTGTCAAATTTTTTCTTTAAAAATTAATATCTCTAAATCTATAACTCTTAGGTATAGGGAATATTTAATAAAGTGACCCTCAAATTTCACGTAGAATCTGAAAATGCAATAATATATACGGTGTACTATTTAAAATAACGAAGTTGGAGTCGACTTCTGGTAGAACCGGAAGAGCTGTAGAGTTCTAGATATTTTAGATGTCTTCATCCTAGGGCCATTGAAATGTTGCCAAATTTTCAAATTTTGCGGCGCAGTACTTTCCTAGATATCGATCGTCGCAGTTTCCGATGGGACATCCTGTATGAAATTTGGCATTTTTTTCCCCTTAAAAATAACATTTGGAATGCATTTATCCAGTTTCAAAAATGGGATCAACATCAAATGTTGAGTAAATTAAACTGTTCCAAAATAATAATAATGTTCTCTAAATGCACAATATTATGGCATTAAGTTTTCACAACAATACTGCCCAAATAAATATTTACTTTTGTAATTATTGGAAACAGAGTTCAAATAATTGTTTTTTTATTTAAAATTATTATTTAGCAAGTAAATTATAAATCCGTCTCCACAAACACTCGTGCAAGAAGCAGTTATTGCTTTAAATGTCGATATTGTCTAAAAGTTGAAGAACATTTAGTAGTTTAGAGAAAATAAATTCTCATCAAATCTTCAACAATGTCTTCAGATTGTCATTAGAATTGTCTTGTGGTCTAAAATTTGGCATACATTTCCTTTTAATGGCAAATAATGTAATAGTAACAAGAAGTAAATATCTATTTCAGAAAAAATATTCATAATCGAATACCGAAGGGAAACCTCTCAATTGTGAATAAATCATGCAGAGTTGGCAAATCTCTGAAGCGTACATTGCATAGTTAACAGATTTATCTTGAATTAATCATATCTTTTGAACAAGTTTCATTATTCATCATTCTAAGTGGAACATCTTCAGATATATTTGTAAAAATATCATTTTTCTTCAACACTCAGCCCTCAAAAACTAGTGATGTCTGAGGACCAACTTCCAGAAATTATGACATAGACTTAAAAAACGCCCTTTACATCTGTTGCGGATTCTAGTTGGCTTAGCGCTTATTTATTGGTGTTTTGCAGTTTGCTGTGAATCTTTTCCGTACCTTGCCACCATCTTCTAACCCGAATGGTGCTGAGTTCGATCCAGAGGAAGACGAACCTACATTAGAAGCGGCGTGGCCCCACTTGCAACTAGTTTATGAGTTATTTCTTAGAGTATTAGAAGCACCTGATTTTCAACCAAATATAGCTAAGCGATACATTGACCAAAAATTTGTTTTGCAATTATTAGACTTATTTGACTCGGAGGACCCAAGGGAAAGGGACATGCTGAAGACGACCCTCCATAGAATATACGGGAAGTTTTTAGGACTGCGGGCTTTCATACGCAAACAAATAAATAACGTATTTTATAGATTTATATACGAAACCGAACACCACAACGGCATAGCGGAATTACTAGAAATTCTCGGGTCTATAATCAACGGATTTGCTTTGCCCCTAAAGGAAGAACACAAGGTGTTCCTTCTCAGAGTTCTGATGCCTTTACACAAAGTCAAATCCCTTTCAGTCTACCATCCACAGCTGGCCTACTGCGTCGTACAGTTCTTGGAAAAGGACCCGTCACTAACCCAACCGGTTATTCGTAGCCTGCTTAAGTACTGGCCGAAAACCCATAGTCCCAAGGAAGTGATGTTCTTGAACGAGCTAGAGGAAATCCTGGACGTAATCGAACCCGCGGAGTTTCAGAAGGTGATGGGGCCGCTGTTCAGGCAGCTCGCGAAGTGCGTCAGTTCGCCCCACTTTCAAGTGGCCGAACGGGCTTTATACTACTGGAACAATGAGTACGTCATGTCCTTGGTATCTGAAAACGCAACGGAGATCTTACCGGTCATGTTTCCGAGCTTGTACAGAAATTCAAAGAGTCACTGGAACAAAACGATCCATGGCCTCATCTATAACGCCCTGAAACTGTTCATGGAGATGAATCAAAAGCTCTTCGATGAGTGCACCCAGCAGTACCGACAGGAAAGACAGAAGTAAGTATAGGCAAGTAGATATTTTAGAATTTTATTGTTGTATTATCTACAGGATGTTACAAAAATGTAGGCAACCTGTTCACCAAGGTACCAAAGTGAAAATAAAAAAAAATAAAAAAAATACATTAACTTAATTAAAAGGTGATTAAAAGGTTAACCTACTTTTTTGTAGCATCCTGTATAGATGGAGTTATCTGTAACTTTTTTTTTAATTTTATTATCTGTCTAATAGCAGTTTCTGTTGATGTTGATTGAAAAACGGTAAAACTTCTCAAAGTGTTACTAATACCAACTCTACTGTGAGAGTAACAAAGAATTTTATATTTTAAGAGGAAAACCACATTAGGAGACTAATTTTCAGGCGATTCCCATGAATTTTTTTGAGTGGGAGAAATTAACTAGAATTTGACAAAACTTTGACATTATTTTTCAATATTTTGAACTACATTTACAAATTTTTTCAAGTCACTTGTGTTGAAAATGCCGAAGTTATGGGCTGCACTGAAGGTCGTCGACAGAGTTGATTGTTCACAGGAAACTTGGAGATCATAATGTTGATTTGAAAAGAAAATGGTTGCTTTCCTGCATTACTAATATGTTTTCTAAAAATATGAACCTCATTGCGGGTAAAAATTGTGAAAATTGAAGTTTTGTTATCATCCCAATTGTTGATTCATGTTCTTTGTAATTTCATAAAGAAACTCTTTCCATTAGAGTTCCCGGGAATCAAAAAATTGTGCTATTGAGAAAAATGCGTTTGAAGATTTCAGTAAACTAGAAATTTGAGAAAAATAATTAAAGTGAGCTTTGTAGTACTTTCATCAACTGCATCCTTCGGAGATATCCAGCCCTCAAATTTAAATAACCTTTGAATAGCCTTCAAGGTCAACCCTGATCAACCTTAGAGTTTTTGGACGAAAAATTTCCCGCTCTTTCGATTACCGACGCCAAAATTTACAAAAAAAGATTACCTTGAAATAACCTTCAAGGTCATAGTCAAGGTCACCATTGAATCCCTTTGAATTTGAATAAAAAAAAACCTTAATATTATGATATCATCCCAATTGTTGATTCATGTTCTTTGTAATTTCATAAAGAAACTTTCCATTAGAGTTCCCGGGAATCAAAAAATTGTGGTATTGAAAAAAATGCGTTTGAATATTTCGGAAAACTAGAAATTTGAGAAAGTTGTCAATAATATAGAGTGCTTTCCGATCAATCAGCGATTCCAGCACTATACAGGGTGATTCAAAATTTAGTACAGGTTGAATTTAGGGGCGTACTTTTGAGGTCAAAATAAGACTTTTTTTTCCCTATAAATGTGGGTCCACAAATGCTTAGTTTTCGATATACAGAATATTAAAGTTCGTTTGTTACCCTGTATTATAAGTATATTTAACCATCCAACAAGCAAACAAAAATAGGCCTGATTATGCTAAGATAAGGAGGTACTTAAATATAAACATTTTTTTGGAGGGGTCCATGAAAAAATAAGGTTGAGTACTAGCATATCTAATTTCATTTAAATTGGATAAAGCGCTTTAGATTTATTTGGAAAAAAACTAGAATTTTTTGTCAACTATAAGATCATTTGGCGGTTAAACGGAGCAGCTTGGTAAGTTTTGTTAAAACCCCCTGCTCTGTCGGTTCATTTGCAAGTCACTTTATATAATAATAATATCTCCTCGTTCTAACCACGTGAATTAGCCCAGAAGTCGGAGACTTGCGCGGGAGAGGAGGCGGCATATTATTATTAAGCAGGCCGCATTTGCGCCCAGGAACGACCATTCAGTGCAGGAATGAGGGAAACTTGGAAAACCTCATTAATTAGGGGGGTGGTCAAATGTCAACCGGTGTCAATCTCTCACATTGATCCAAGCCAACATTCTTCCACCCTACCATACCTGCACAGAGGGTGCCAATTCTCCGTACAAGCATAGATAATCTACGATCTACCGACCGCGGAATTCGAACCTGGGCAGAATTAGCACACATCGATTTTAGTACTGACGCCTTAAACCGTGCGGCTATCGATATATTAAAAGTCATTAAAGATCGCCAAAATTGGACAATGAATTAGACTCTCTCCAATTTTTTGTTAATTAAAATTAGTAAATTTACCACAATTTATGTATTACATGCACCGATAAGATTTGACTAAATTGTTGATCAATTTATTGTGTCTATAATTGAAAAAAGACAAGTTTTACTTATACAATGAAACAAAATACCTACGTTCTCTGTGTATAAGATACTATGCTGTTTACAATTTTTTTTTTATGGATGGAACATTGTTTAGAACATTGTCTTAAATGTTTTTTATATGTAGCAAGTGTAGTTTTTTGTCTATTTTTAATTAAATACCAAAGTATTTTTTTCTAAATTTTATCACCAAAAGCTGCCGTTTAATCCATTTCAATATTAAGCACACGAAACACCCGACAAATCTGGATAAATGTTTATTAATCTACATTGTACAGTATTGCATATGTTCCAAGTTTTTAATTTTTATTGGAAAATGTAATAAAAAAGGTCTTTATACAGGGTGTCCAAACAGTCTGGAAACACGTGAATAATTTTCCAGGTAAATTATTTTTGAAAAATGTTATGTTCTTGTAGTAACTTTTGACGAGAAATTCAATGGATTTGACCTTGACGATGACCTTGAAGGTTGTTTCAAGGTCACCTCAATTTTTTTTAAATTTCGACGTCGGTAATCGTAAGAGCGGGAAATTTTACGTCCAAAAACTCTAAGGTTATCATAAATCAGGGTTGTCCTTGAAGGTCATTCAAAGGTTATTTAAATTTGAGGGCTGAATATCTAGGAAGGACGCAGTTGATGAAAATAGTACAAAGCTCACTTTAGTTATTTTGTTTAATCGCAATTAGTGGTGACCTCAAACTCAACCCTCTTGGTGTCCTTCAAGGTCATTTCAAGGTCAATTTCTCACGTTTAGGGTGCTTCATTATCGTGAGTCCCCTTGCTTCTCACGTTGGGGTGCTTGATTATGGTGAATCCCCTTGCCTCTCACGTTTGGAGCGCTTTATTATCGTGAAAAAAAATTACCTTGAAATGACCTTGAAGGGCACCAAGAAGGTCGAGTTTGAGGTCACCACTAATTGCAATTAAGCAAAATAACTAAAGTGGTAAAGTAACCAACTGCGTCCTTTGGAGATATCCAGCTCTCAAATTTAAATAACCTTTGAATGACCTTCAAGGTCAACCCTAATTTATGACCTTGGAGTTTTTGGACTTAAAATTTCCCGCTCTTTCGGTAGCCGACGTCGAAAAAGGGGGTTTCCATTTAAAAAATGGAGGTGACCTTGAAATAATCTTCAAGGTCATCATCAAGGTCAAATCCAAGGTCACCATTTAATTCCTCGTCAAAAGTTACTACAAGAATGACTTTTTGGACACCCGGTATACAGACGCCCCAAATAATTTTTCTACAGTTGCTAATTGTTACGAGATAAATAATTTACTAATATTTCAAACTCCTGGTTTAGGAACTATTATTAAAAGTGTGAGTGAGAATGGAATATTTGTTTTTACTGGAATGTGTATTGGTTGTTGCAGAGAGAGGGAAAGGCAACATCAGCGTCAGGAGTTGTGGGTGAAAGTGGAGACATTGGCCTCTCGGAGACCCGAATACGAAGTAATAAAAAGTAGAAATGCTGAAATAAACAATATTGTTGGTAGTCCCGATCCTGACGATGAGGTTAACCTAGATAATTTAGAAACAGAAGCCCAAGAGGTAAACGATGATATCTGATTTTATACTGTGTAATTTTTTTTTTCAAGCACGTAATTAGGAGGCATTAAGATGCGACGTTTATAGCTCTTCGTCGATTGAAGAGTTGTGATAAAAAATGTGTAGTATGATTTGTATTACAATTTTCTATTTTTTTTATGTAGTATTTCTGTGGATTTTATACCGATTTGGGTTGTGATTGAGACACTTTTGATTTAACGTAAAGTCGGATATTTTCTTATTGAGGCTGCAGCATTTTTTTACTTCTTAAAAAAATATTTTGTACTGATGAAACCAGGTTATTTGGGTAACATCCTTATTGGAACTGAGAGACTTCGTTTGCAAGTAAATATCGTCAATTTGTAATTAAAATCTTTTACTTTGAACTGTTATTTAAAATGTTTACTTCTATTGTAGTTCATTTCAGTAAATTTAATGCCATTATTTTTATACATTTTTACGTAACTGATACGTAACTATATTCATGCATTTATATTAATGTTCATTCACATTTTACTTTTAACTAAGAGTTGTGTTAATTCGGACTAATTGGAATCATTTATAACAGATTATTCTGTCTGAAGAGCAACAACTAAATTCTATTTAAAAGGCAGTTATTCTTCAGATTTATTACAATTAGCAATGAAATATCCACGGATTTTTTTACCTATTGCAATTTAAAATAATTCTGATTAACACGACTCCCAGTAGGAAATAAGCAATGTCTGTTTTCTTGGTATATAAAAGTGGGCCTCTATTTAGTATAATATGTAACAGTTCTGTAAAATAATTAGTGTACAATCTTGTGGAAGGTATGTAAAATTTTTAAATAAGCGGTGATTAACCAGCTTAGTTGAATTCATATCAGCTTTGATTCCCAACTTTCTATGCAAATTGACGCCAAGAATTACCTAAATCTGATCTACTAATTTGAGACTCATTTATTTTTATATCAATAAAACAAAACTGATAGTTTGATACTTTATTTTGAATATATAAGTGCCTGCAAAAGCTAACGGTTTATTGCGCATGCAATGAAATAAGTGAGAAACAGATTAATTTTTTTGTTAGGATGAAGCACAACTTTGTTTTACTACTTAACAGACTTTTGATTACAATTTTGGTGATTTTTAATCTTACTTTTAATATCAAGTAATATCCATTTTAGTTACATTCTATAATTGTGAAACTTGTTTTTATTTTAAATATTTAAAAGTTACATACAGGCTCTTACAAATTCGCTTCTCATTACAGAAATCTCGGAAACTGTAAGAGGTACGAAAAAGCTTAAATGGGGGCAAAGTGGCGTAATCAGGGCGACCAACATTATGCCCATAAAAAATCAAGGGTAAAATGATTAGTTTTCGAAATATTTGAAAAAAACAGAAATTTTGGAAATCCGTTTTTGTTTCATTTCAGCCTTGTTTGAGGTGATATTGAAAAAAGAAGAACACTTTCTCATGGCCACTTTCTGCCCTCTATCGAATGGCATAATCAATTTTTGTATGTAATGTTTTGTCTGTCCAGGACCATCACCACCTTAATTTTTTTAAATGCGGTCCTAGAAATTTTATTAAATTTTTTGCAAGCCTTCATGACCCCCAATACTGTACTGCCTCAGCCCGAACCAGATTCAGACGTTTTGTCTCGAAAAATTCATCTTCAGTGTATTCGTTCCAAATTTATCTAAATTTTTTATTTAGATTTCTCTGTTTATTGAATTACCGCACACTGTAAGTGTCATTAGACCCTGTGAAATCCATCTAGTTATTTAAACTTGTTTTTTGTTGCAACTTCGTCACTTTTTAAGATACCTCAATGGAATTTAGTATAGGTACCTTTTTGGAGTAGCTGAAGATGGTTATAGGCTTTTGGATTACTTAAAACATAGTTGTTGAATTTTTGAAACAGCATTCTTTTTTTTCCAAATTTTTTTTATGTTAATTTAGATTTTGAGACAACAGTGATATTTTATGAAACCTTACTACATTTACTATAAAAAGATATCATTGTTGCAGTTGCTAAAATGTATTGTTCCAGAGAAAAATGGATTCTATTTCTGTTGTTGATTATGAAAAATTCTGTCAAACAATTTTTGGGGGCTTTATATCCCAGTGGGTAAATTGATCTGTCAGTCAACAGGCACAAATTTAAGAAAAGGATCAAGTTTAATTAGATAAGAAAACTTTCTAGTAGGTACTCTAACTTATTTTATGAAAACTGAAATTATCTATTCACAAAATTTCTACAAACAAAAAGAAAAGGCAAAAAACAAAAGATTACTTCAGGAAAAATAAGTCTATGTTCAAAATCGGCTATCCCATAAAATTTTGTATGGCAATAAATTGGCCAATTTGTTACATTGTGCAAATGGTGATGGAGATATAGTGAATTGTCATAGTTTATTGTGAAATATTACTAAAAATCACCAAACTTGACCAATAAATTGAATTCGGTTAAAAATTTGTGAATGTAAAACCTATTTTTTTAATATTTAAAATAAAAGTACCTAAATGTCAGGATTCTAGAATGGAACTAAAATTAGTTGAAATAGAAACTCACTAAAAATTTTTCATTAAATTAAAACCAGTCTAAACCGGTTTTTACTGAAAAATAAGTAATGGTTAATTCGTACAAGTTATTGAACCCTAAATTGGTGTAAGAGTTTTTGTCCATTTTGTGTGTAAGGTATTTATACGTTCAAAATCAAGTTTCACTTTACATGAGGGAAATTATTAGGGCCTGAACTGAAATTTTTAAAAAGCCCGCTTTTGCTGTGATGTGTAAGGAAGTTTTTCTTTTATAGGTAAAAAAGGCACGAAATTCAAATAAGCCCTTAGTTCGCCGTAAATCAGAGCTCCCACAAGATCAGTACACAATCAGAGCTCTCTCGGATCACAAACGAGCAGACGAATATCTAACGACACCACCAGATGTAAACAAGTGCTAGTCCATTCTTACACTTTAGTGAGCTTAGTGCCAACATATTTTATACACCCGTACACCCATATTGGTTTTTTTTCGAGTTAAGGAAATCACATTTCAATTTTAGGTATTTATTTATTATTTAATTATTTTAATTGTCTTTAATTTTAGAGTTCACTGTGAAAGGGGTCCCTTTTTAATAAATTTTGAAAACTATTGATATTTTTATGTAGAATATAGTTCTTACAGTTTTTGCAATGGTATACATAAATGGTATTAGATTTTTAGACTAGATGAAATTTAGGTAATCGTATCAGTTGTGATTTCTATAGTTTTTATTTTAGACAAATTAACTTTTTACTATTATTTATGTCTTGTATTTATTACCGAACGTATCATATCTAGATGTATTCAGATATCAGACTAAATTTTTGGTGCAGGCATTTACATTTCGGTTTGAACTCTGGCTTGTAGGCGTTGCGTTACTTTGTAATAATTGTTTTAATTGCGATGATTGTAAAATACCTTTTAGCGTACTAATATCAAAATAAAACCTGCACACAGATCTATTTTGCTTAGTACTTCAGATAGAAACGAGGCTAGATATTCAGTGTAGTAGTTCAAATGTACCATCAGATTAAATACCTTTTGTTTTTCATTTTGCACATTCTGCCGATGAAGTAGTCGAGAGTAAATGCTAATAAATGGATGATAATGTAGAAAAGAGTAGATGAACTTACCTACATAGGTTTTTACAATGAACACTAAAGATATGGAATACAATACTATTATTGTAAATATTTTGCAACTTTTTTGTTTACAAAATTTGTTTTCATTTGAAAAATTTTTCTTTTTATGCGATACTGCTTTTCATTAAATGCGTAAAAAAAATATTGCTGAAGTTTTTCCATATGGACAGTGAAAAATTTTTTTTTGGTAAAATCAAAATGGGCATACGTATTATTGGACTTATTTCAGATTTTTAGTGCTCCTTGCTTTAGAAAATGACGTTAGAACTTGTCTTTGTCTTTGCAAAGAACCCCTAAAAGCTTTTTTCTTAAATAATTTTTTTATAATCAACCAGCCCTTTAAATAGTTAAATGCAAAATGAAAATCAAAATATGATTATTTCCCTGCTATGACTCAAGTGTTATATCATATGTCGCTATACAGAGTGTCTGAAATAAATGAAATCAAACAATTCTAAAATTTTGAAGTGTTTTTTTCAAATATATTGTTTGTTTTGATACTTCAAAGCATTTGAGATTGCTAAATACTCATAAAATTATATTATTCGTAATAATTTGTAAAGTGATAGGTTTTGGACAATCTGTATCTGCATACATATGTTGTTATCTGGTAGATCCAGACAGAGGCCTTTTACGAAACTAAATTTAATAATAAAAAAAAATTTTTAGTTTGTATTATATATATTTATTTTTGTAATTTTTGTATGCTAATGTTCTCTTTAATAATTTCGAACATTTGAATAAATGGGGTAGCGCTGACAGTTCTCAAGACTTAGTTGTTTTGTGTGTGGCACTTGCTTTGGATGTGTTAAAAAAAAAGTGAAAGAAGAACTATATATTATTAGTTATATTAATAAACCGCAAAAAGTGCGTACCTATGTAGTGTTGTAACTCGAAATACATTCAATAACTAATTTTAAGGATATATTTTTTATGTTTAAATTAAACATGGAAGGAATGTGTATATATGGAATAGGAGTTGATATTATGTCTTAGACAGTATTTTTTTAATGTACAGCTTTGCTTTGTCAATGATATTGAAATATTATAAATAATTATTAAATAATTTACACTGAGTAATTTTTTATTTTTCCCTTCATCCGTATGTTTCATTATTTGAACGATGAAAATGTTTTTAAGGACTTTTCCCGTGGTCAAATAAAATTTCAAAACTTCATTTTGCATAATACAGGGTCCCGAAATTAATGCAATAAAATTTGGTCACAGATTCTTAAAACAAATTTAGGGCAAACATATTTTTTATTTTTGCCAAGTGGCTCCCTCTTTCGGAGTCACAGCCCGCTGCAATCTACCCTTAAGAATAGTTTTTTCTCAAAAACATTGCGTTTTACAAAAAAATATTTAGAACAAAATTTCTAAATGCAATGGTTTTCTAGGAATTAAAAATTTTTTAGGAATTCAAATGTGACCAAATTTTTTTTGCTGCAAAGACGACCCACGAAAAATTGTCATAAGAAGATTCCCTGTCAAAAGGCGTAGCACTATCAGATTCCACATGTGATGAAACCCCTCTGTACCAAATTTAGTGCTTCTCGTACAACAGGGTTCTGAGATAAAAAAAAGTCTATTCTTAGGAGCGGATTTCTGGGGGCTGTAACTCCGAAAGAGGGGCCCACTTGGGAAAAATAAAAGATACGGGTCCTCTAAATTTGTCTTACGAATCTGTGACCAAATTTTGTTGCATTAATATTGGGACACCCTGTATATTAGAAATTATGATAAAAATTAGAATGTCAAGTTTTTTCTAGAAGTTACAGAACTCTAATCCTTGGAAGTATTTCTAAGCATCCTTTATATAGCAAATTTTATAAAAATATTTCTATTCGTGGGTGTTAAAACGTGAAGTGGATCTCTATGATCAGAAGAGAAAAATTTTAATGGTTTATTGATATCAAATCAAGATATTTTTATATATTATTTTTTATATTTTACCTTTGTTTTACGTTAAATTGTCTACGCTCAATTTTTTTATTTTATATTTTTTTTTTGGTCCACTATTTCTGACGAATTTTCTGCGGACGCCCATGTACCCTTACGTTTCATTAGGTTTGTTCCTTTGTATTGATAGAAATGGATTTGAGTGGTTCGTTCTTAGAATTTACACTTCTGGAGGCAGCGTTCCAATGGCCGAGAGTGTAGCGGAGGTTTAGAGAGAGAGGGGTATAGAAGTGTACACAGATCAAGAAAAGACATAGATAAATAATTCAGGGTATTTGTTTGAATCCCAAATGATTCATGTTTATATTTACTTTTCCCCGTGTTGTGATTGGTTCATTTAAGTTTCGCGCCACTTTTACGCTCAAATTTTGACATTTTCCAGAAAATTCGAGTTCGCCATTGTTGTGTTTCGTAGTGTAATCTAATGTTTTTGCGTTTTTAATGATTTCGTGCTTGTTAGTAAGATTTTTTCCAGTGAAAAAAGTGTTGAACAATGCCGAAGAAGTACTATATTTGCAATAATATGTACCAAATGAAAGGAAATTAACGATCGTTCCATAAGTAAGTAACAATAATCATAGACGTAGCAATAAAACAAGCTGTTGGGGTTAAATTTAAATATTTCGCTTTGACAAAATTTAAGTGCCAAAAAGCATTAGTAAATCAGATAAACCAAGGCGTAAAACATTTAATAGATTTTTTTATATGTTACAGATTTCCGAAAAATCTTCTAATTAGAAGACAGTGGTTTAGAAGCTTAGGAATTCCATATACAGAAACAATATCTATATATACCTATATATGCTCTGACCACTTTTGTAATAAAATGCAGGATAATATTCTTAGGATAAAGCATAAGTTAACAAAAAATATTTTATTTCATAATCAATAAATTTCTATTTGAGTAATATGGTTGTCTTTTTTCATTCATAACATTCATTCGATAGAGACAACCTAAAAAATAAACCAATTGACAGCTTTATTAGGGACAAACTTTAACTCCAGTAATATAGCCGTAACACGCAATGTAAAAATCTACATGTAATTCTATATAAAATATATATTTAAACCTGTTCTAATTTTTAGTTTTTTATATAAATTCACACATATGTGTTTGTGATAGGAAGGGTTAATGGACCGACTCTATAAAAATGAATTATAATTTTAAAATATGGTCAATCTTTTAGTTTCCTATATACAAATTTTATAAATTCTATGTAAGAGTTGATACCAAATTTTACACCGTGTCATAAGCTATTAAAATTAAAACTAGGATATACCTACCCAAATGGAATTTAAATACTTTGTTTTGTTAAAATCTCGTGAAAATCATATTAATTAACAGCTTAAGAGTATGATGAAATGTATCATTCCTTTTGTATATAAATGAGAGTAAAATTGTGTCAGTAGATCATCTCAACCGTATTCCAGGAAGAAGTAAATGTAGGGGACTGTGAAGTTCATAAGTAATAAAATAGGTTGAAGAAAAGTTAAATAATCTCATAGATACCTTAAGAAATAAAACACGCTTTCTTAACATACCTATTACACCATATTTTCCCTAGTTTATCTGCGGAAAATAAAATTTACAATTATAATTATTAAACTTGTTATTTTAGTTGCAATCAGCCCCTATAAAATGATACGCCACTGCCCATGAGGGAATGTAAACACAACTTCCTCACCCTTCCGATGAACTATTTTGGCTTCAAGCCACATAGGTATAAATTATGTATCTATGTCTTTTCTTGATCTGTGGAAGTGTACATGCTATCTCTCTCTAGCAAAATGCAATCGCGTGCTGCTAGAGAGAGATAGCAAACTCCCTCCTTTATCCCTCTCTCTCTAAACCTCCGCTACACTCTCGGCCACTGAGACGCTGCCTCCAGTAGTATATGCTCTAAGGGTTCGTTTGTGTTGATCTGATTTTTTAATTCATTTATATCTTGCAAATTGCTATACAATAGAGCATGTTCAAAAAGTGTAGAGCTGTAGAGAGAAAAGATCAGAGTTTGAAAACTCGCTCTCTCTCTGATCGTGGAGGCATTAGTGCGTTAGCCAATAACGTGCCTGCGAGAGAGAGAAAGATAGTACCCAATCTTTCTTTCTCCCTGCCACTCGTCTACATTGTTGCCGTAAGTGTACTTTATCCTTGTATGTAGTATATACTCTAAGGCCAAGGATTTTATACAAGTATAAAATTCTTGCTCTTAAGGCCATCTAAGGGTCGTATGACACTACACTAAATTGAGTACTAAATTTTATAATTTCATTTACATAAATTAGTAACAATAATCATCTGTATTACACGTTTCAATTTCTCGTACAATATTTAATGTACGCGCATGCGCAGAACATTAATACAGACAGTTATGTCCTCCTAACGTCACTTTCTTTTCATAAAAGTAAGGTTAGTTTTTATTTTGTCAGCAGATTAATAAACAAATATGAAAAAGAAAATATTAATTGGAGCGGTAGGTTGTTTAACATTAATAACTACTACAATGGTACGTCGCAGAATGCTGCGTAAACGAAAAAGACGTGCAATTTGGTCAAGAAAATGGCTCATGAGGCGAAATGAAGGTCGTGGTTTATTAAATTTGTTAAATCAGGAACTACTAATTGAGGATATAGAATCCTACAGAAATTTTCTGCGGTTGGACAACCAGCAATTCGAAAAGATATTAACTCTTATTGTTGAAGATATACAAAAAGAGGATACGTTTATGAGGGATAGTATTTCTCCAAGAAATAGGTATGTACTTTTGGGAATATTGTTTGAATAAAAACTACGAGAAATTACGACTTCAACGGATCGATTGATTACATTTTTCAATATATATATATAGGTTGGAAGTTACCTTACGCTTTTTAGCCACTGGGGAATCCTTTCGATCCTTAATGTATTCTACTCGCATTCATGAATCGACAATTTCTAAATTTATACCTGAGGTCTGTCGTGCTATATATAATCACTTGAAAGGAGAATATCTTGAGGTACTTATGTTGGTAAACATTTATGTAAATGATTATGTATCTTTGATTATTTCCAGATACCTACTACACCAGAGGCATGGAAAACTATTGCCAATTACTACCAGCTATGGCAATTTCCAAACTGTCTTGGGGCCCTCGATGGTAGACACATAAAATTTTGTGCACCAATATCATCGGGATCATTTTATTATAACTATAAAGGTACAAACTCTATTGTTTTATTGGGCTTAGCTGATGCCAATTACAAGTTTATTTATGTTAACGTGGGTGTAAATGGAAGAGTTAGTGATGGTGGTGTATTTCGAGAAAGTAAGTTTTCTAAAGTTTTACAAAACAACAACCTTAATTTCCCAGAAGATGAAGTTCTTCCAGGAAACGGCTCAGAAAAACTCCCTTATGTAATCATTGCCGATGATGCTTTCCCACTTTCTACTAGGTTATTAAAACCATAGGTATGCACAAAGAGGCCTTTGTCAGGAACAAAAAATTTTTAATTATACGTTAAGCAGAGCACGGAGCATGATTGAAAGTACATTTGGTATATTAGTTAATCGTTTTCGTGTATTACGTAATCCTATATGTCTTAATGTAGAAAAAGTTGAACTAATTACTTTAACCTGTATAGTTTTGCATAATTTCTTGGTAATTAGCAAAGGAACAGTCTACACTGACATCGATCCTGATGAAAAACTTGATTGCATGGGAAACATCGGAAATCAAGGTGGTAATAGGTGCACTGTGAGTGCTTTAAGAATTCGAGACAAATTTAAAGATTATTTTTGCACAGTTGGTGCAGTTCCTTGGCAAAACGAGGCTGTAAATAACTGTAATATGTAGGCAATAAAAAATAAACTTTATAATTTGTAGTTTAATTTTTGCCTACCTACACAAAAAAAAAATAATGGATGCCTCAATATTATTTTAAGGATAGGAGGATATGCTTATAAGTAATACAGAATATTTTGACTCCTTAAAATAATAAATATGTATTTATTGGTACTACTCTACAAATTGATATTATACAGGTAAGTATATATATTTTAAGAACTGTGACTTCTTTTTTTCTCTATATCTTTTTAAATTTGTAAATATAAGATTAGCTATATCCTCTTCGGTTTCATCTAATAAATCGGGATCGTCAACCATAATTTGAAGTTTAGTAGTAATAAATTCAGCAAAAGCCTGCAGGCCGTTTGCATTTACTTCCTTGTTGCTACTGAAAGCTTTTGCCAAATGTTGCATTGTTTCTGAGGCTGTGGTTAAAATATCATCTTCATTTATTCTCTTTCTTTTTTTTTGTTTTCTTAGAACATTTGCCTTTATTTCACTTCGATTAGGTGTCTTAGTAATATCACTGTTCGAATCAGTTTCTGTTGGGTATTCTGTAATATCAATAATAATGTTTTCTTCACCATTCGGGTTTTCTTCAACATATTCTCCATACTGGAATAATATAAATTAAAAAAAATAATATATTGTACTTCTAATACTTACCTGTGGTTCCATTTCTTCACCAAATTCACCTCCAGAGTCAAGAAGATTGGAGTTTTCTGCAATACTGTCTTTTGATGATCGTGGTACACTGTGTTCAACGATAAATATCATGTTCTCAAAATACCACAATGTAGGTCTATACTCGTAAATCTGTTAAAAGGTCAGCATGATTAGGAAAGTAATGATACATAATAAACCTATTATTTAACAAGTCTTACCTCATCTGCACCTGTGCCACTTTTATTAGATGCCTTATATTTTCTATACTCAGACAGAAAATTAGTTCGCAAATTATTAAATTTGCATTTAATTTCCGCCAGTGTTGCTTCTGGTTTTATTTTTCTCAATTCCGTTTCAATTTCAGTCAAAGCCTTGAATCTCGCGTGTCTATTTTTATAAGAAACTGATTTTACGGCATATAAACATGAATGATTTTGATATAGATCTATTAACATTTGTACTTCATTTCTACTCCGCGACATAATTTTTATTTGCGTAATTTTTTAGATTAACTTAACACTACTAGTTCAATTTTTAGATAAACTAAATAAGGTTAAATTACGATTATTACGAAATGTTGACACAAGATTTACTTGACAATCAGAAACTGAAGCTAGCCAGAATAAAAAAACTCGATGAATAGTTCTGTAGCTATATTCATACATATTTTCTTGACAAGAAATTAGGACATGTTTGAAAATCTTGTACTAAAAATTTGTAGGCAACAATTTTTGTTGCAATTTCTGTATGATACTATGCAAGATTAAAAAGTTCTTAATTAATTACTAAAATTAGTTCTAATTTTAGCATAGTGTCATACGACCCTAAGGCAGCTGTCAGTCATCAGTCAATACTGTCAATAGTTCAAATGGTTCAGAGTAATTCCAAGTTGAGCTCGATTTGTCCAATGGCCAGTGTCCAGCATAAAATGTTTATAGCTCATTGCGCTTAAAGTAATTGAACAGTAAAATCGGATAGGGAACAGGGCGGGAAATTTAAATGGTCATGGTTATACAAGGGTTAGAAAGGATGAAAGGAATAACTTTTCAATTATTGAAGTCAACAGTACTCCATCTTGAGCAAATTTTAAATTGTACTATGAATTGCAGAGAAATATTATCTACTTTTTGAAATTAAATTGTACAAATTTAGTACAGTGGTATGCTAGGAACATCTCTGTCAGACAAGTAGCATATTTGTGCCAATGCGCTGCCGGTTGTGCTTTTAATAGAAGATTGAAATGAATTGCTAAGAAGCTTATTTGTGGGTTTTTACTACATACATTAGGATATCGTTTTCTTGCTCGGCAGTTACCATTTTTGGACCAACGATTCTACCACCAGTTGTAGTCTGAGAATTAATTTTATAATTCAGCTGCCTATGAGCACAAACAAAATATCGTCTGGCTGCATCAAGGCCATATTGTAATTGACCTGAGCGTAATCACAAATAGTCTTGCTTATTTAGATTAGTGTCCGAATAATAGTAGTAGTCAGAAAATACTCGAATCATTGACGTAGGAATATCTTGAAACCAAGTTTCTGTGCTCTTTTCACTAAAGGTGTCTAAATTATGAATTAAATTTAAATTAAAACTTTAACACCCCATATATCGTAAACCACGAACATTTTACCAAGGCATGTTTGGCTTAATCCAATTATTTTGATGTCTACAATCTACTTTCACTCATTATGGACCACCTTATATAAAAAAAAACAAATCGAATTGCCCAAAACAAAATTAATGGGATTTCCTGGTTTTTAGCGATACTGTAAGTATATAAATTAATAAACTATTTGATCCAATTGACTAATTTGGACATAGCATTCTCCCTCTCTAAAACTAAGAGTAACAAGGACAAAATTAGTAATCCGAGTATTCAGAACGGATTTTCATAAACGTCTAATGAATTGTTACAACAAAATGTTATGTAAAAACTTTATTATTCAATTAAAATACAAACGTCATGTGTAAATATAATTAGAAAAAGCTTTGCCAAATTAGACACTTTTGTGTTGGTCCAGCTTCAAATTCAACTAAAAATTAATCGGTGCTTTAACTCAAACGAATAAAAATGGCAACATTATTAATTCTACTCCTGCTAAAAACTAAAAAGCAAACAAAAATAAGACTACATAATAGATCGGTATGGATTTTTACACAACTTACAACTATAAAACGAGTATTATTTTTGTTACTAGAAAATCGTATCAAAACAACAAATACAGTTTACATATCACAGATAAATAAAACATACATTCAAATAAATTACAAAAAAATAAGAAAACAGTGGAATGTGATTATAGTGAAACATCACCGTATTGTAATGACCATTTTTCGTAAGCAACAAGACTTTGCGGTGAAACACTTCTTCTGATACGCTTTAGCGAATCTAAGAAGTCGTTAATAGTGATACTCCTGACAGAATTCGGATCCATTTGCTTCACTTGTTCAGGCTGCAGCTCTAAAATATAAAGTAAAAAATTCGGTTCTACATCCGAGATATTACAAGTTATTAAAAATTTACCCCGAATCGGTCCTAATGCGGCATCTTTCGCCAGCGCAGTCAAATCACTTCCAGAGTAACCTTCGGTCAGGGTTGCCAACCTCTTGAGTTCCTGCTGGGTCAATGTACAACCTTGTTTAGCCAGCAGCTTTTTAAGCAGCTTAGCTCTGGTTTCTAAGTCAGGAAGGGTCACATAAACCCTCTTAGGGAATCTTCTCAGAGCAGCTTCGTCTAATTCTTGGGGTCTGTTAGTTGCCGCCATAACCAAAACCTACATAATAATTTAAATAGAAAAAGGGAATCTGTAATTTTAACTATTGTCTGCTAAATCGGAGCACCTATGCAATTCATAGCCTAAGTGCCGATTACTGAATCTCTCTTGATAATTCTTAAGTGCAGCATTTGTAATGCAAATTGTACCATTTAGAATAAATGAATCCTCAAATGATCATGTCCCCATTTGTCAATTATGTTGTGTAGTAAGATTTGGTTAGATTTATGCAATGGCGGTTTCTACAGGGTTTTTGTAAATAAGTGCGAAATATTTTAGGGGGTGGTTGTCGAAGTTATTTTGTGAAAAAATGTTCATATAAACGTAGGTCGAAATTTGCTTCGTTTCCAAGATACAGAGTGTTTAAATTTTAATTATTTATTTATTTTTATTAATTATTTCATAGAATTTTAAAGATATTGACTCGAAATTTGATGGTTGTATTTTATTTAGAAATATTGACGGCAACCCACTAGACAAGGCATCAATAGAAATTAAAAATACACGACTTCCAATAAAATGTTTTATTTTTTTCCTCAAAACGTTGCATCCTATGAAAAAAATTGAAATTCTGAATTGATGGCGGAATTTTAAAAAAACATCAAAACGGGAACAAGTCAGTGGCATACCATTTTTGTTATTAGAAAAAGTTGTGGCAATCTCGCAGGAATTTCACTGGTACAAGTAGAAATATTCGTATCACCCCAAAAAATGCACATTTATCTCTGCGAAGCGTTTTTAAAATTTCGAGTCAAAATTTTNAACATTTCAGGTGTGTAATGCTCCGCAGTTGCCCCGGAGCGAGAAGAGTCTTTCCTTTGTTGTGCTATCTGTCTTACTAACCCCTTTCGGCGAAAATCCGAACACAAATCTGAAGAAAGTTAAATCTCCGAGGACATGGGAACTCCCAGACATACCACCCGGTATATCCTCCGAGAATGTGTTATAGAATAAAGTGTGAACCTGGCCAAATACATATAAATGTTAGGCCATCAATTGAGAAGAAGAAGAAGAAGAAATTTGTTAGTCTACCTAATGTGTGTTCCGTGTTATTGAACAAAGAGTTTGCCTAAAATTTTGAGCTACCAACGGAATTTCTTGTACTGATTCGTTAAAAATCTTGGAAGTGATGTACAGTAATTCAGTTTTATCAAAAACTCATGCATACGAATGGTACAAAGCCATCAAACATGGTCGAGAAGTGGTCAATGATTTGCCATTTTATGGTTGTCGTTCAACGTCTTCAATTGAAGAAAACATCCATAAAGTGAAGGTAATGGTGCTTGCGAACCGTCATTATAGTTTGAGAGAGCTGGCATATGAACTAAAGATATCTCACGAATCAGTTCGCACAATTTCAGTTGATGTTTTAGGTATGAAACGTGCAGCGCAGCACGGCAGATCTAAAACAGCTGAATTTTCTTGAGAAAGAGCATCACAAACATGTTGTTGAAGATATGCTTATCCGGAGTCTATATTCATGCAATGCATCATACCGGGTAACGAGACATGCGTTAACAAATTTAACATGCAATTGAGCCAACAAGCTTTGGAATGTCCCTTTTTAAGGAGCCAAAGCAAAAAAAAAACGTGAAAGTAACATAATAGTATTTTTTACATTTCTTATATAATTTTAGAGTTGTGACTAAAAAAATGTTGCACAATAGCGATCGAGTACCCCCGGACATTGTTTTAAGTTTTGAATTTCGCAGTATTGTTTCAACGAACTACAATTGCTTCAATTTGTTTATTTATGAAAATTATTTTAAAATTATATCGACTGTTGTAGAAATTTGCCGTAATTGAAGGCGAGAAATAATAATGGAGGAAAAACATTCTTAATCAACTTTTAGCAGCCAATTCTTCATCGCCAGTACTAATGGAATTATTATTAGTTTTACATTACCTGCAACTGAACGGGTGCCTTGAACTAGCATGACAGATTTAATAAATCCGTTACTATTTCCTGACACGTCAAAAAAACGCGGGGGCTCGAAAAACCTAAAATAGCGGAACTTTGACCTCTTCACAATATAAAAAAATGTGTAGGACATACAGAAAAGTAAAGGCAAAAAAAGGGACAAAGTAAAAAAACAAAAAGGCAAAAGCACTAAAAAGACGTTGAATATAACAAAAGATTTCGATCTTCCAAAGAAGATCGAGGAAAAGAGATCAGATGCATCATATGTGGCGAAACTTTTAAAGAAGATTGAATTCAGTGCCATGAATGCATGACTGGGCCCATGAAGACTGTGTTCATATGGACTCTCAGATATTCATTATTGTTGTGATGTTTGTAAGGCCAAGAAATGATTGGGTTGCCATTGATTAGTGTGTCCGGGGCTACCCGTCATCCTTTGTGTTGCCAAAAAATTAAGGCCAAAGTACAAAATATATTTCTTTAAAAATTTTTATTATTATTATTAATTTTTAATTAATATGGTTAAGAAAGTTNGAAAAATTTCCAACGGAAATTTTTTCAGAAACTTTCCAGGGAAAATTTCTCAAGCTTCGATTATTTCTTCCCGGAAAATTTCCGTTTTGGAAACTTTCTGGGACGGAAAATTTCCCATTGCCCATCTCTAAGAAAAAGCATCACAAACATGTTGCTGAAGACATGCTTGAACGGGCTTATTCGGAGTCTATATTCATGCAACTCATCATACCGGGTAACGAGACATGGGTTTACAAATTTAACATGTAAATGAGTCAACAGGCTTCGGAATGTCCTTTTTCTAATCCGTTGTTACCATTTCCTGACATGTCAAAAAAACGCGGGCACGAAAAACCTAAAATAGCAAAATTTTGATCTCAAGGCAAAAAAATGGACAAAGCAAAAGCACTAAAAAGACGTTGATGACAAAACCATTCAATCTTCCAAAGAAAATCGAGGAAAAGAAATCTGATGCATCATATGTAGCGAAACTTTTAAAGAAGACTGAATTCAGTGCCATGAATGCAACAACTGGGGCCATGAAGACTGTGTTCATATGGACTCTCAGATATTCATTATTATTGTGATGTTTGTAAGGCCAAGAAACGATTGGGTTATCATCGATTAGTGTGTCCGGGGCTACCCGCCATGTGTTGCCTAAAAATTAAGGCCAAAGTACGGAATATATTTCTTTAAAAATTTTTATCATGATTATTAATTTTTAATTAATATGGTTGAGAAAGTTCCTAGTTTGATTTTAAGATTAAAAATAAAGACAGAAAATTTGTTAATCGTATTTTTATTTGCAATTCATTTAAGTGTCCGGACCTTCTCCCATTGCTTCAAAAGGAGCCTATTTTGAAGGAGATAAAATAAATTTTGATAATCAATTGAATATACTGTGTTGTATTGACAAATTCCGAATACTTTTTCAACACAATGTAGCTTATAAAATCACCTTTGTATTTCTTGAACGAGGTTCAGAGGTCAAGTAATATTAACAATTAACTATGTGCAATTTAGCAGCTATTCATTTGTATATTAACGCCGATCTTGCTTTTATTGTTTCTATATTCTGGCAACTGTCAAAACAATCTGATTTATAATCGAGTGGCTCTAATTTGAAAAAACGTTATATAATATAGCAAAACAGTAATGTTTAATACAAATCACACCTATGATATCCAAAATAATATTTTTTTTCTATGAATCGTTCATGTTTGACAAAAACAATACCATATTTTGGCTGGTCAAGGCATTAGTCCAGTGAGTAGTTGGTTCCCACAATATAATCAGTTTAACATTTTTTATGAGTGAAATTAGATAAGTAGGTACTGTTGAAATGTGCAAGAGCTTTTCCACACGCCTTACATAAACGTTAAGTAAAAAGTAAAAGTTATCTAGCTGACTATGATTTAACAAAGCTTACCTTTTCACTTTCCGGATTGCTGGGTAAACCGTCAAATTCAACTAGGAATTCTGTCTTTAATCTCCGACTAGCTTCATGTTCGTTATTGGATCTTTCAGATAAGAGTGAATCCACTTCGTCAATAAAAATAATAGATGGCTGCAATTCCCTAGCGATGGCGAAAAGCGCTCTAACCATTTTTTCTCCGTCACCGACATATTTCGAGGTTAAGCTTGCTGCGCTTATAGAAAAGAATGTGGCCTGAAATATTAACATTCACAATTTTTTCAAGATTATTTGACTATCGATAATATTACCTGGCATTCCGTTGCAACGGCACGAGCCAACAGAGTTTTTCCATTGCCGGGAGGTCCAAACAGGAGCAATCCGCGTGCTGGGGTCCTCAGACCTGTAAACAACTCTGGCCGCAAGGAAGGTAATATAACCATTTCTTGCAATGCCTGCTTAGCGGTATCTTGACCGACAATATCGTCCCACTGCACGGGCGGACCACCCTCGACAATTTCGTCAAGAATAGCTTGTGCCAGCTTTGGATCCACTCCCCTCAACGAAGGAGAACGTCCCCGAGCGGAAACCTTACTTGTAGTAGCTTTAAAGAGAAAACTTCTTAAAATTAAATGGTCTCCCGCCCCGAAGTTTGGAAATATTACCCCCGTTGCTGTTTACACGTCTGGCCGGTGATCCCGTGTTACCAGGAACAGAAAGTTGCTTTTTAACTGCAGGCGGTGTAGAAGAGATTTTGTTAAAAGGACGTACAGGTTGCACGGGTGCTGTGCGTGAGCCCATTGATCTGGGAAGTGTTTGACTCTTGGATATCGAAGCATTGGCAGGACGCTTGCTAGCTACAGTTAATTTTTTACCAGAAGCTGGAATGAATAAATTAATTTAAACATTGCATCTCTATTATTACTACAGAAGTAACCACCAGCAAACTACAAGCGAAGCACAGAGACACAGATAGTCGACATACAAATAGTCCACAGTTAAAATACATAAATAACCTACTTTCCAAAATATATACAACATAACATAGTCATAACTCTTCTTGAAAACACTATTGAACTTATCACTTAGCAGCATGCTGTTAAAATGAAAATTGAATAATCCAAAGTATCTGTTGATGATTTTAGAGTTAAATTTTTGATTTCTTAAGTTTTAATTTTAATATTAAGTAATAAGTAAGTGCCCAGGTTTGCCATCATTTTTTGACAAGGGCTTCAAAAACCTGTAATAGTTATTCACATTACAAGTACCGTAAGTGATGTGCAACCCATAACAATTTATTTCATACTGCACCTTTGACATTTTGGGGCTTAAAAATACTTTGAAGATTCCATCCAAGAAAAGTCAAAGTAGTCCGTACAAAATGGAGAAAACTTTGTACAGGGGTTGCAGCAACAACAGTAAGATTTCTACTTCTACAGTTAACTCTGATGGGATTCAAGAAATTAAATTTGTAGAAAGTTCAAATTGTTATTAATGTTAATAATAATTAGATTTTTGTTTTATCCTAATTAAATTTGTAAAAAAAATGTTTTAATATTTTATTTCCGCAGTAAGAAAGAAGTCCGATAAGTTGTCTAGCAACCTTTTACCGGCTCTAATACTGTAATAACACAATTTTCTGAATTAAAATTAATGTCGTACACATACCAAAAATGAATGTGAATTTTTCTTGCCCAAACTAAATTTTTATATATAAAACAAAAAATAACAAAACAAAGTTATATATTTGAATACTTGCATAAATGATATTGTAATGAAATTTGTGCATACAGGGTGTCTGATAATTATATGGCATACTCTCGAGAGTGTATAGGGGAGGTCAAAATAACCCTAGTTTGTCGTAGAAATTTTTTTTCCTAAAGTGCCCCTTAACGGAGATACAGAGCCCCAAAGGGGTACCCAGCAATTTACCTTTTCGGTTCTAACTTTTGAACCGACTTGTATAATTTAATGAAATTTTAATATTTGATGTAGGCCATAAAGGCTAATAAAGTCATACTACGGTAGATGTTTTACACTGTCAAGAAAGTCAGGAACGAACTTGCCACCACACTCGTTGGGCCAAAATTTTGACAAGTGTCATTTTATAGAGATGAAAACTGAATTTTTAAATACCTTGGTCATTCCTCTTTAAAAAAGGTACTCTACATTTGTTTCGATAAAATTAGCCGTTTTCGAAAAAATTGAATTTTTGTAGAACACATCATTGAAATAATAAATTAGAATTCTGCAATAAAACACTACGTTTTGACGTTATTGACAACACTTGCAAAAATTGTCTGATTGATTGAGTACACAAGACTAAATAATGGAGCATTGTTTCTATAGCAAATATATTGACATGCATCTAATTTATGGACAAGCATTTGGCAATTGTGATGAGGCAAGAAGAATTTGTTCTGATACATCCAAATCGACGTTTATCGCACCGAAGAACTTTTGAAATGATTGATCGGAGCTTACGAGAAAGAGGTAAAAAGTCAAATCAATCCCTCTAATTCTGAGAAAACTGTTGGTCCAAATTATCACATCAAAAGGTACATGCCATGTCCCTCGCTGATTATCCTGCAAGAGTCAATTACGCGCAAATTGGTTTTTGCAACGATTTAGACAAAATCCAAATTTTATTAGTACTGTTTTGTTCACGGACGAAGCCAGTTTCACCCGAGATGGAGTAATGAATTGCCATAATTTGCATATCTGACATGAAGAAAATCCCCATGCATTAGTACATACAAAGCACCAACAAAGGTTCATGGTTAACATATGGGCAGGGATTATTGAAACGTTCTTTTTTGAAAACATTAAATGGTGCCATGTATTTGCAATTCTTGCAACAAAGCTTATTAGAAAATGTGCCCTTAGAAATTAGAAATCAGGTGTGTACTTTTGGTTATCAATAGATAGGTCGAGGTAAGCCTATTTTTTGGCCACCGAAGTCACCCGACATGACTCCATTGGATTTCTTTTTATGAGAAAATTTAAAGAGGCTTATGTATTTGACGACAATTCACACCAGGGAAAACCTGATAGAAAGAATAACACACCATTGCAACGAAATCTGGACAATTTTGGAATATTATTTCTAGTACGAGAAAACATCCGTCGGGTAAGGAAATATATAGAGGTTACCATTTTGAAAATCTGCTGAAGTAAACAAGAAGAAGAAAAGCTTTTTTTTAACAGCCTTGCGTTTAAGTGATTTAGAAATGTATCAGCATAAATTCTTCTTGCCTCCACACAATTGCCGAGTGTCCATAAGTTAGATGCATGTAAGCATTGATGAGATGTAATAATAATAATGCCAAATTTTATTATTTTAATATCAATTATTAGTTGTGATGTTATTCGATTATTATTATTATGTTCAAATAGCTTATGCTAATAAACTTTATAATCAAATAAATTAATGTTTAAACGTGTTATACAAAAACCGAATTTTTTTCGAAAACGGCTGATTTTATCGAAACAGATGTAGAGCACCTTTTTTAAAGAGGAATGACCAAAGTATTTAAAAATTCAGTTTTCAGATCTACAAAATGACACCTGTCAAAATTTTGTCCCAACGAGTGTGTTGGCAAGTCCGTTACTGACTTCCCCGACAGTGTAAAACATCATCTGTAATATGGTTTTATGAGCTTTTGTAGCCTACATATTAAAATTTCATTAAACTATACAAGTCGGTTCAAAAGTTAGAACGGAAAAGATAAATCGCTGGGTAACACCTTTGGGGCTCTGTATCTCCGTTAAGAGGCACTTTAGGAAATTTTTTTATGACAAAGGAGGGTTATTTTGACCTCCCCTATACACTCCCGAGAGTATGCCATATACTTACCAGGCACCCTGTGTAATACATGAATAATCAGTGCAGTACATGCTCATTACATTTTCCATAAAAATTGTAGAATACTATTGGAGAAAGTTTTTGCAGTTTTGGTAAATATTAAATAAATAAATAAATAAATAAATAAATAAAAACTTTACAAAAGATGTTTAAAATGGTGTCCCTATGTCTCAATACCCAAAATACGACAAAAAAAATGAACAGAACATTTTAACACTTCATATCTAAAGAACTATGGTTATCAGAACAATGTTTATATAAAAAAATGTACTTAAACTTGGACTAGGAAGTAGGAATACAGGATTTTGACTAGTGCTAGTAATAAAAATTTTGATGAATATATTAGTAAATTTCATATAACTGTAGAACTTATTAGTGTTAGTTTAATCATAGCCTTTTTATTCGGTTAATATAAAGAACATAGAAATGAAAATAGCATTACTCTGTTAGTAAGCTAATAATAACTTAATTAACTAATACCTGTTTTAGAATTATTTTTGAGAGTAGGAATATTGCTAGTGTAGGTAAGCTTTGGAACTTCCTTTGGAACATTTACCTCCAAATTATGTAACCTATCCATGCTTTCTATAAATAAAACGTCTATTAAAAAAAAAAAAATAACTACAAGACAAAATTATATCAAAATCTTGTGAAAGAAATATCTGTAAGAAAACAAAATAATGTGATGCATCGGTACCTAAAAATTGCAGTCGGTCTTTAGCCATGGCAAGATTGGTTTTCATTTTTTCATGCAAACGTTGCGCTCTCTCCCACACCTCCCCCCGGCCGCCCCAACATTGCACAGCTATACCTAGCTCAAGTTCTGTAATACCTTTTCGATACAAGTCAATTGCCAACTCCTTTTGTCCTGCAAAAAAAAGAATAAGAGACGATGAAGGAAACATTTTAATTGACATACCTTCATTCTCCTCGTCTATTTTTAAAGCTTTGGAGATGTATTCAAATGCTCTTCGGTGGTGATGTTTTTGTTTTGCTAACAATGGGTCTCCTGGACCTGGACCTGCATTTCTTACTTGGGCCATCTCTGTTATTTCTTCTACAATTACACAATTATCTTTCTCACCATTTTCACAATCAACTCTGGGGTGGCGTACAAAGTAAGTCGACGAACTGCAGTAAATAAAACGTAAAATAACAAAAACTTGATATAACAACGACCGTAAGATATTGAACAAAAATATAATAGGAAACGAAACTATACACAAATTTCTTTTATGAACTGATGTAGTTGAATACGAACTGAACATCACATTACTGTGGGACGCATCAGGATCACTTTTTCTTGATTTTTTACTAGGCGATTTTCCACTTTGATTTTTACGAACCATCCGGAGGTCATGACATAAATGTCGAATGGAGAAGGGAGAAGGGGAATTTTAATTTTTCGATTGTTATTGTTATTCCTCGCTGTTCTTCTTCTTCTTCAAATGTTAATAGCAGGTAGCGACCACGGTCTTTTACGGACCGTGGGTAGCGACAGCTGTGTAAATCGGAACCAAACTAAGATCATAAGTAAAGCTTGAAGACTAAAATAATGAGAATGGAACGTTCCCTGCTCCCTAATCTCACTGGTCAAAAGCATACGAATTTACTGTTTTTAGCCGTAAATTCTATCGAAAATGTTCTGACAATTCGAGATATTAGCATTTTTAATTACATGTACAAAATTTGCTAAAACATTCCACTCGCTACCGAAATTATTGAATTGTTTAACAACTGTCTGACACGAAGTAGTTTATGTTTTGTGGCCACGAGTTTGAAGTTTGAATTTTACGACAAGGGGTAAAATATAGCACATGGTGAAGAAAATGTAACTAAATAAATGCATTTGAATATTCTTAATAAAAGTAAAACCTGACCGAATAACTTTGGGGTAATCTTATATCATTTAATAACAAATAACAATGTTGCCCAGCTTCGAGCATATACTACTGGATACTGGAAGTAGCCTACCAAAGGCTGAGCGCGTTGAAGGTGAAGAAACAGAGATCTGCTATGGAGACACTTGTTATCTCTCTCTCTCTTTCGCCGAATGGCTGTTGATCACGTGGGACCATTCGTCAACCAATCACGTTCGGCAAGAGAGAGATAGCATTAACCTTCATAGCAGCTATCTCTCTTCATCTTGTAACGCGCTCGGCCATTGGTAGGCTATCTCCAGTCCACTAGTATATGCTCGAAATTGCGCAGTAAGATATTTTCCAAAACTGTGAATACATTCACAGAATACTAGATTACATTAGGCTTTTTTTCGCAAGTGAAGTCGTATGTTACTAATAATAGTAACTACAATAATAATAACAGTAACTACAAGTCAGATATTCACCAATATTCAGTCACGAAAAATACCATATGGCCATGGGTACATACCTGGCCATACCTGAAGATAAGCTCATCACTATAAACATTTATGAAGAAGTCTTTACGAGAATGTACAAAAATGCTTAAAGTATAAAGAGGTTTAGTCAAAAAAACAACCCTTGATTACTTCTGAACATGATTAAGACAAAATCATATTTTTTGTATGATACTATAGGGGTTTTCAGAAACTGATCGTATTAATTCGAGTATTAAGTTAATTGTCAGTGATCTTGTCGCTCGGAAAGCAAACCGGTAAACTTAAAAATCGTTCGGAAAGGCATCGAGTAGATCAGAGCTTAAGTTAATCGTGATACTTGTTGTTTTGATGATTTTGATACGTTTTGGTAAAAACATTCCGACCCCTTGGATTCGGCGCCTATGTTTTCAACTATAATTAATATAACCTTTCAACATGGTTTCTCAGACGATACCAACAATACAGTAAAGGTTAAACGATCTTAAATTGAATTAATAAGATTTACAAATTACACAGATTATATTTTCACTTACCTTTATAAGATATCTTACGAGTTAATGTACAAATTCACTTATAACGAGTTACAATTATTACAAATCGATTGTATAGTGGTATACAAGTGGTTAAGATTAAAATAAAAGTCGAATACTTATTCTATGTGACTCATGTGACGTACGTAAATTAAATAGATAAGGCACATATTTTTGTTTCATTTCATAATGTTGAAGACTTGGTGCCTTTTGTGATAAAAAAATACTTATTTATTCCCACAGCTTATATCTACTAAATATAATACGAACCCTATCAAATCAATAAATTATATTTGCATAATAACATCCATAATAAAAAAGAAATACAAATATGTAGATCACTTACCCAATTTCGCGCCCTTGGAAGGCGCCTTTATGAGTGACGCACTACGAAGTGCCCATCAAGGGTTCTCATCAAATTTTTGAGTAATTATTTTGGCAACATACTTGCATAACGTTACAGTTATTTAAGTTGAATAAACATTTGTTTCCTTTGACAACACATTCCAGGCCCGGATCCAGAGACTGGTTTTGGGGGTGGCGCAAAGCACTTCTTTCAGAGGAGCTTGACACTACTTGCATTAATATCGACTAACTGCCTGTTGTCGTTTGGAGAAATTGAAGATCTTTAAAAAATGTTGTGCTTTGGGGGTGGCGATCGCCACATCGCCACCCCCCCTGGATCCGGGCCTGACACATTCACTCATACAATAAATATATTCTGAGATAACCGATTTTATTTACTATTTGCACTTATTTGAGTTAGCGAAGGCGGCTCTCTCCAAACTTTTATTGAATGCGTCACTTGTCACTGTATTGACTGTCACTGTATATTTAGATAATCGCAGCAACTGCCTATTTAATACAAGGTTATAACATGTTTATAAGAAAAAAGTATTTAGTGGCACACAAATTAATATGAACGTTCAAAATTGTTTTAAGAAAACTTTAACATTGTTTGAATTGATATCTTAACACGTTGACTGCGAGATAATCTCAACGTACTTTGTCCGTGACTGCGATACATATTTTCGGGGATATGTAACAAAACTTCTTCTGTGTGCGGTACATATCCCTGGGGATATGTAATTTTTTTTACATTTGACCCTATAAAATTAAAAATAACACAATTATTGCTATAAACTTGCATGTATCTGTAACTATATATCCTAGGATACTAACATTTTCATTCGCAGAGTTTTGAAAAGAAAATGATAGAAAAATTATTATTTCTAAAAAGTAGACTCTGCAACTTCCACAAGATACAGTAAAAATGTGATTATTGAGATTCGCATATTTTTTATAATGAGTAGGTACATACTCCCCGAGGTATGTACCGCAGTCAACGTGTTAATTATAAAAATTAACAAGTAAATTAAATTTTATTATAGGATGGTAGCCTTTCTTTTAATGATAAATTCAAATTACGTAACATCTCTTCATTTTAAGACATATACGTACCTACTTAAAACACCGTAATCATGAGAAAAGGTTTCGATACCTTTTTCAAAAAGAACAATATCTCTTGTTTCAAAATTAGCTTGCAATGATTTTTTTAAAAAATATGTAGTTCAATATATTCCGCGAGATCTTCTCCGCAGGTTCAGAGATTCCTGGGGGCTTTGGTAACTAGATATGAGATCTAGGTTAAGAGCAATGCAATCAAAAGGTAATTTGAAAATTTTTGACTGTTTTGAATTGAGAAAATTTGTTTATTTGTGATTTTTGGATAACAGTATAAGGTTTTAATTTATAGAGCTAATATGTATACGCGATGTAGCCATAAAATAACGAGATTGATGCTGTAAAACTTTTTTAAATTTATTATTATTAAATAAATAAATTAATAATTAATATTAAATTAATTATTATCTTCAAATACACCCTTATAAATGTATATTCTTGAGAATCGAATATTTAAATTTACTTCGCGGTTGAAGGAAACTGCCCCATTTTCACCCCGTACCCTTTTCTCTAACGGTTTTCAGATCTGTGTCCAAGTTTTTTGTTCAGAAAAACATTTTATTCTTTTGTTCCTGTTTGATTTTCACCATTTCTCTTAACTGGAGAGAATAATAAAAGTATAAAACAATTTCCTTTTGTTTGAGAAATGGCTACACCTAAAATCTATATCAGAAAGGTAAAAAAATGCGACCGTACCAGCGCAGTTGAGCAGATTCATTAATTTCAGGGTGAAATAACAACAAAAATTCTGCCTTTACCATTGTTACCACAACATAAATTAATTATCATACATTTATCATTGAAAGAAATTCATATAGATTTTATGAAAATGAGAAATGATTAATCATGCTACGGAAATAAAATAAATAGAGCTATATCTACTAACCGTGTTTCCCACATTTTTATAATGCAGAAATGATTTCAATACAAAAAATTTCACAACTTGGAAAGGATTTTTCAGTCGTAAATAGAATGCATTTATAATAAATGTTGTCAATAATCAAAACCATACTACAAAATATAAAACGGAGCATATTCAAAATTTTTAAAACTTCTTGAATTTTGTATGTGCGCATGCTTGTGCTTGTGTGTGTGTACTTGTGTGTGCGTCAGCCGAGCTATCGCTGAAGTCAGCGGTTCCAAACATGTTTTTTCGTATTATAGTGGTAATTCTTTTAACTTATATTGTATGAAACATCTGAGCCATGCCACTGAATTATAATCGCAATATCTAGTAATTATTCGTGAGCAAAATCGGCAGACTTCGGAACTGATTAGTAGTATGTTGAGTGTGGATGAGATATAACCTGCAAAGTATCTCATATTTGAAATGTTATTGCTATTCAGCGCCTACTAGCAGTACCAGCACAAAGCAATGTATTGTTCTTTGCCCGCAAGGTAGTTGTATCACCAATTAAAAAGTATATTTCGAATAGTGCTACACTAATTTCTTCCAGTAGGTACAATATTTTATGCCAGTAGGCATTGATTAGCAATGCCATTTAAGATGCGACATACTTTAGAGGTTATAATTCACCATCAAGTCAGCAGTTATTAAAAAATACATTCTACTTGCAAAAATTGATTGAGTAATCATCTCAATTTATTTCTTCTTCAATTATTCTCTCTAAGTTTGTAAACACCTTGTATAGGTGTCATAAAACCCAAGATGCAGAAAATAAGTGAACATACTGTGTAATAAAAATTGTCATTAAATTATTATTTTATTCATTTTATCCAAAGTAAAACTAAAGTACCTACACAAAGTCATTTTGTCATTACTTTGGTAATTACTGAGCACATTTGTTTGTAAAAAGTTTTCTTGGTAGTTTTTTATGTTAATTTATGTAGAAACGTACATTTCTGTGTAAATGAATCGTCATTGAAGTAGGTAACCATTCATCAAATATGCATGAGTTACAAAAGATGATTTATACGTCTATAAATTCCTAAATCACGGTGTCATACAAATCACAGTGATTTACATACAGATCCGGTCATTTGTTA